GATATAGCTCCCATATATATTTTCGTCCGATTTTAGGTAAATAGGGCACAAAAGTTCCTATATATCCTTCGATTTGCACGAAATTTTGCATAGCGTATTGAATTATGTCTAGATCGGCGTGTGTTGAATTTCATGAAAATCGGTTCAGATGTCGATATAGCTCCTATATATATTTTCGTCCAATTTTAGGTAAATAGTGCACCAAAGTCTCAATATATCGTTCGATTTGCACGAAAATTTGCATAGCGTACTGAATTAAGTTTAGATCGATGTGTGTTAAAATCGGTTTAGATTTAGATATAGCTGCCGTATATATTTTCGTCCGATTTTAGGTAAATAGTGCACCAAAGTCCCTATGTATCCCTTGATTTGCACGAAATTTGACACAGCGTACTGAATTAAGTATAGAACGATGTGTGCTTAATTTCGTGAAAATCGGTTCAGATTTAGATATAGCTCCCATATATTTCCGATTTAAGGTAAATAGTGCACCAGTGACGTTATTGCATTTTTTTGAAATTGGTACATATGCTATAGCTTCCATATATATTTCGAACGGGTGTCTGAATAACGTGTATCAAATTTATTATAAAACGTTTTCGATAAATTTGTCCCATGGTACGCAGACGACTGTAAATCTGCCCGAATGAAATTTAATTCAGGATAAATGGCAGAAAGACATGAATATGTTCCTTTGAGAAAACCTTGATATGCACTTGTAAGGATACATATGTAGAATATACCCATATATATCATATAATCGGTCCAGTCCGACTTTACTACTTTCCTTAATGGTTTTGTACCGAAAACAATATTTTTAAAAAATTTACACATGATTGTGGTTCATGTAAATCATTTTAAAAGAAAATCCACATAACTTTGTTTTAATTTCCGTTCTGATCTTTAAGAATTTTCAATTTTCCAAATCATGGTAAGGCCAATAGTTTGACAACAATCAGTTGATTTTTTTTTCTCAACGTTACATCAATACCAATATTATTGTACATGGGTGTGTATGTGTCCTTACAATTTCCTTTACATGACAGTTGACATTACACACTGAACTCACTGATGATGGTATAGTTTTTTTTTTTTTTTTGTTCCTTTTATTATAAAATATCTATAGAGTGATTTACTTTCTGACATTATGGACATAGCATTCCACGAAACATATCCCTCCAAAAGGGGAAAATTCATGCGAGACTGTCAGTCTTTCAGATTTATGTATTGTAACTTTAAGCCGATAAAGAGGATTAAACTAGATCATACTTTTCGTTATTAAATTTGTTCACAATATGCAAAACTAGTTAGGAGGTTTCACTTGTGTGTACCATAAATCCTTTGAATACTTTTTTTTTTGCTCTCTATTTAGGGAGTACAAAGGACGTTATGGCCAACCACATCATAATCTTCTCCATCCTAGCCAACAGCATCTATATTATCAATATCAGTCAGTAATAACGGAATCGTTGTCATCAGTAAATATGTAACATTTCCTTTCATGTATAACGGGGCTAACAGAAGGGGTGTTAAGGGGGATTAATAATTTTTTTTTAAAGTATATTAGCGTGGACTCAAATAAACGCACCGTTCTTTATTTTAGAAAGTGTTGTATCAAGATAAATATTTTTTAAGGACCTCAATAAAGGGAGGATTTGTTACAAATATTTTTTCAAGGACTAGCTATGTGGATTTTTAAAAATATTTATTACAGGACCAGTTATAGGCGAGGATTTTATAAAATTTGTTATTCAGGAAAATAATTAAAAATATTTATTCAAACACAAACATTTAAGGACCTTAAAGAGGCTATAACTTTTTAAAAAAAATTTTCCAAGGACCTCAAATGAGTGCAGATTTTAAAATTTTTTTCGAGACCTACAAATGGTTGGGAATTTTTAAACTTTTTTTCAAGGATTTAAAATAGGCTTAGATATTTTAACAGTAGTAGATTTTTAGGCTTGGATTTGTTTAAATATTTTTTCCAACTGCACCAAATTTACTCATAAACCAGTGAGCGGAGTAGTACAGTCGGACGAGGCAGGCCATACGATGCCCCACACAACTACCACTTAACTCTAACTTTATGCGGATTTGTATTCCGTGCCTGTGCAATATTTTGTGGTAGTTCCTTACACTGTTCCTTACATATTTTCGAAATTTTTCTAATATTCAGTATTGTCCTTCTAATTTATTCGCCCTGGGATGTTTTGTGATGTTTGGCTTATAATAATAGTGGCCTATAGATCGACTCGAAAAAAGAAAACACAAAAAATTAAGTTTTCGGTCCACTTCATCCCAAAATTATTATCTGATCATCACCAAAAGTTATGGGCGTAATCCTTGACCATAACTGGAAACTCATGGAACATTTCAAAACGTTCAGCGCTCCGCCCTCCAGTGAAATAATATGTAAATAAGGAAGCACATGGAAATACTTAAGTGTAACTCCAACATCCGAATACATAGGCCAATATAATTGGTATCAATTTAAAGGCCAATCACTCCTCTCGGGTCTATGTCCTTCAGAAGTAAATATATACGCTATAGAATACAAATTTTGTAATTTTTCCCACAATAGTCAGTGTCTATTTGGTCCGTTAAATATTGACCGATGTATATCAAAACATTCATGCTTATTCTCTGGCCCGATCCCCTTCTGCATGTAAACATGTTCAATGTTTGGGTCATAATTGATATACTATCAATTTCTCGGATATATGTCCTTCAGGATCAAGTATATACGCCCCAGAATAAAAATTTTGTAATTTTTCACACAAAAGTCAGAGTCCATTTGACCCGATAAATATTGACCGATCTTTATCAAAACAGCCATGCTTATTCTTTGGCCCGATCCCCTTCTCCATGCAAAATTTCACGATGTTCGGACCATAACTGCGGCCTCTGGAGCGCCCAGAAAAACCGACAAAAATTTAGTGTTTATTTACCAAAAACAATAGGGGTCTTCATTGGTCAGAACCCATCCAACATGCAAAATTTCGTAAAAAATGGTCCATAACTGTGGCCTGTATCGTGTTTCCAAATTATAATGACCAGACGGACAGACACACATGTCTAGATCGACTCAGCTAGTCGAGATATGACGATCGGTATACTTGAAGGTGGGTCTATGACCAATATTTCGCGGCGTTACAAACTCTTGGGCTGCACAAAGCTATAATACCCTGACAACATAGTTGTGTAGGGTATAACATATGAATAATTCAGCCTATTCGATTTCTATACCCTACACAACTATGTTGTCAGGGTATTATAGATTCGTGCAGCCCCAAGAGTTTGCAACGCCGCGAAATATTAATCCTATACCCACCGATCATCATATCTTGACTAGCTGATCGTCATATCTTGACTAGCTGAGTCTATCTTGACATGTGTGTCCGTTCGTCCCTCTGTCCATTATAATTTGTAAACACGATACAGGATGGGTTCTGAATAATGAAGACCCCTATTGTTTTTGGTAAAGATATGTTAATATTCAGGGGATGAAATGGACTATATACTTAATTTTTGTCGGTTTTTCTGGTCGCTCCAGAGGCCGCAATTATGGCCCAAAAATCGCGATTTTTTACATGGAGAAGGGTAATGGGCCAAAGAATAAGCATGCCTTTTTTTATAAAGATCGATCATTATTTAGCGAGTCAAAAGGACTATGACTATCCAAGAGGAGTGGCTGACCTTTAAATTTATATCAATTATATTGTCGTATGTACTCGGATGCGGGAGTTACACTTAAATATTTACAGGTGCTTACGTATTCAGATATTATTTAGTAACCCTTTACCACACTAGAGGGCGAAAATATATCGCTGATGGCTTTGAAATGTTCCATGAGGTCCCAGTTATGGTCAAGGCTAATGTCTATAATCGAGTCGATATATAGGCCACAATTATAAGACGTACATCACTACACAACCCACGGGGAATGGAAAATGGACATGTACCGAAAATTAGAACTATTTGGAAAATATGTCAGTGTAAGGAAGAGCTGTTGATCTCTAATCATGCAAGAGGGTGCAAATATCGCGAAATAGTGCTCAAGCTCAGAATATAGAAACACAGAAAGTTAGATTTTCGTGGAAGTTGTGTAGGGTATCATATGTTCGGCCCCGTCCGACTATACTGCTCCACTCACTGGTTTTATTTCATTTTTCTAACCAAATTTTTTTTCCAATCGAATAATTTTGTAATATTGAAAATCATTAGAAAATCATTAGAGTTTACAACAAATATGCGTGTCCTACGACCCTAATATCTCTATGACGACACATTGGCATGCCTTTCTATCAATATCATATCATTTTTATTAAAAAAAACCCTTTACACATACCCACATACATTTGTGTGTTTGTATCAACATTCCGGTAGAAAAAAAAGAACTACACCGGCAGACAAACAGTTCAGCTGTCTGTCTCCATCTCATTGGTGGATAGACAGGCGAGCAGACCTGTCCATCTGTGTGTGGCAAGTATAACAAGTTTACAACCAACATATCTACTACCTATATTGTGTAAATGTCATATCTACTATATTTATATAAATGTCAATATGTGTGTAGATTGAAAATAAAAGAACATACTTCTTTTTTTTCGTTGACACAGTCACCAGCAAAACGTTTCTGCTATCTATGAAATCTGTTGATGTTCGTTCTAGTTTCAGTCCTGTATATCCTGTGTGTTCGTGTTTCTGTGTGTTCATGTTTTGTCAGTGTTTAAAATAATATTTTTTTCATCGCCAACTTAAATATTCAATATTTTGTTAAATAAACTCAACTGGTATTAAATATAAATACGTGTTCTGTGTAAATAAATATTTTAGTTGTAAGCTTTTAAATTAAATAAATATTTTGTTAAATATTTTCCGGAAAGATTTCATTTATTTTTACGACAGAGTTACAAGTAAACATTTGTTGTTGTTTTTTTAATTTAATTTCCACTAATTTAAAATAAAAAAAAAATATTTTTTATCTCTCTTTACTTTAGAATAAAGTGGTGGTTGTGGATGGAACCCGAGTGAAATTGCAAATTTGGGATACCGCCGGTCAGGAACGTTTTCGCAGTGTCACTCATGCTTATTACCGAGATGCTCATGGTAAGTAGCTTTGGAATGCCCACAAGCGGGGACTTTGAACAAATATTTTTTCCCGAGAGAACTATAAAATCATGAACTATTTAAAATATGAATTTTTTTTTAAATATTTTTTTCAAAAACAACCTGATACAGGCCTGGATTTTTTAAAAAATATTTTTTCAAAAACCTGATATAGGCGTGGATTTTTTAAAAATATTTTTTTAAAAACCTGATATAGGCTTGGATTTTTTAAAAAATATTTTTTCAAAAACCTGATATAGACGTGGATTTTTTAAAAAATATTTTTTCAAAAACCTGATATAGGCGTGGATTTTTTAAAAAATATTTTTTCAAAAACCTGATATAGATTTTTTAAAAATTTTTTTAAACCTGTGGATTTTTTAAAAAATATTTTTTCAAAAACCTGATATAGGCGTGGATTTTTTAAAAAATATTTTTTCAAAAACCTGATATAGGCGTGGATTTTTTAAAAAATATTTTTTCAAAAACCTGATATAGGCGTGGATTTTTTAAAAAATAATTAATTTAATTTAAACAAGGATTGGTATTTTTTTATTGATTTTTTTCTAAGACTGATACATCCACAGATTTTTTTTTGTAATATTTTGCCAGGATTATTAGAACTACATATTTTTATAAGTAGTAGATCCACAAACTTTTTTAATTGTCGATTTGAGACCCAACATATTTCGTAAGAATATTTTACAGAGACAATTTTTTTTTATTTTTTTTAACAAAGCGAAGTTTAGCTGACCAACGACATAAACTGCATTAATTTCCTGGAGCCTCATTCGAGGTTAACAAGGCATTTACAAACAATACCACACCTGTGGTACTGTTGTGTGTTGTCACATCGCGACAAATGCACACAACGACTTTGTTGGTGTTGCTAGTGTACAGCAACAAACCAAACAGTTTAACCGTGCCTGCGTCTACAACTTCAGTAGTGTTGGCGGTTTATTTGGGATACCATTTGTATTTTGTTTTTGCAAAATAGTCAGTCAGCAATAGCTTCTGGGGAGAATATCCCAACAAAAAACTAAGGGAACTGATGAGGATCAGTGGCGTGATCCGAAACTATAGTCTTCCCTGCCTTACCCCTCGGCAAACAATGCCATACATTCCCCACTGATAATTGTTTTTTATAAAAACAACAAACTGGGATTCAGCCTGACTATTTTGCAAAAACAAAATACAAATGGTATCCCAAATAAACCGCCAACACTACTGAAGTTGTCCGATTTTATGTGAATGATGCACTGAACTCCCAATATTTGTCCAATTGGGACAACATTTTGCACAGAGTACTGAATTAGGTCCAGACTGATGTATGCGAAGTTTTGTTAAAATCGGTTCAGATTTAGATATAGCTCCCATATATAGTTTCTTCTAATTTTTGTGAATTATACACCAAATTCCCAGTATTTGTCCGATTGGGACAAAAAATTGCACAGAGTACTGAATTAGGTCCAGACTGTTGTTTTCGAAGTTTTGTTAAAATCGGTTCAGATTTAGAAGTGGTGAAGGGTATCATATAGTCGGCCCCGTCCGACTTTGGATCTTTCCTAACTGGTTTTTTTTAAATATTTTTTTGAAGAACATGATAAAGGCGTGGATTACCATTTATAGCTTTGTGCAGCCCCAAAAATTTGTAACGCCGCGAAATATTGCTCCTAGACCCATCTTTAAGTATACCGATCGTCATATCTCAACTAGCTGAGTCGATCTAGACATGTGTGTCCGTCCGTCTGCCCATTATAATTTGTAAACACTATACATGCTACGGTTATGGACCAATCTTCACGAAATTTTGCATGAAGGATGGGTTGTGGTTATGAAGACCCCTATTGTTTTTGATAAAGATCGGTTAATATTTAGGGAATGAAATGGATCAAATACTTAATTTTTGTCCGATTTTCTGGTCGCTCTAGAGGCCGCAATTATGGTCCAGACATCGCGAATTTTTACATGGAGAAGGGGATCGCGCCAAAGAATAAGCATGTCTGTTTTGATAAAGATCTGTCAATATTTAGCGTGTCAAATGAACACTGTCTTTTGTGTGAAAAATGACAAAATTTGTATTCTATGGCGTATATATTGACTCCTGAAAAAAACATAGAAGTTGATAGTATATCCAATGGGAGATAGTATATCCTTTAAATTGATACCAATTATATTGTCGTATGTACTCGGATATGGGAGTTACGCTTAAATATTTACAGGTGCTTACGTATTCAGATATAATTTAGTTAATCATTATCACACTGGAGGGCGCTGATCTCTTTGAAATTTTCCAAGAGGTTGCAGTTATGGTCAAGGACAACGCCTATAATTTTCGGTGATGATCACATAAAAACTTTGTGATGATTTGGACCGAAAACTGCATTTTTTGTTTTTTTTTCGAGTCGACCTATAGGCCACAATTGAAAGCCGAATATCACAACACAAACCACGGTGAAGGGTATATCGATATTTTATTAGCAAGGCTGCAATGAATTTTGGGAATACTCGGAAATTATGTCAGTGTAAAGAAGAAATACTGTTGATCTCTAATCGGCCAAGAGGGTGCAAATATCACGAAATGTTGCCCAGGCTCGAAATAAATATCCGCAGAAAGTAAGAGTTCTGTGGTAGTTGTCCCTGTATACCAAGAGACAATCAGGGTAGTTTCTGACTTCCACGAGTCGGCCTGATGGCCCCATGTTGTCTAGGGCTACAAAAATTTGCAGAGGGGTTGAGGAACACCTAAATAAGATCCCAATAAAAAATAAATAAAAAAGCTTAACCCATTCGAAAGCTATAACGACTTTATTATGATTGTTTTAGATAGATTATCATTTAAGCATGGATTTAAATATATATGTATATGTATATATAATTTTGAGTTCCAGCATCTAGATCAGATCCCTATAGACTAATTTCAAACAAAAAACCTCACGATAGTCCAGTTTTTTAATGAGTTACAGAGCTATCTTTAGTTGGGTACAAATGTACCACGGTTATTGATCTACGTAGGTAATAACTTTAAAAATTTTTAAAAATTATGTATGGAAAATATTTATATTTTTTTTTTGTGAATTTTTATGTGTGAAAATACCTCAAGAATGATTCCTCAAATTTTGATCCAAATATCTCCATTATTAAAAATTGTACAGCATTTTTATTCAAAAAAGGTACAAATGTACCCGGTTATTGACCGTAGGGTTAAGGAAGAAGGGCTGTTGACCTCTAATCGTGCAACAGGTTGTAGATATCATGAAATATTGCCCAGGGTTGGAATAAACATCCGCAGAAAGTTACAGTTCTGTGGTAGTTGTGTAGGGTATCGTATGGTCGGCCCCGTCCGAATATACTGCTCCTCTCACTGGTTTATTTATTTATTTATTTATTTCTTCAAGGACTATTAGTTCCTGGATATTCTTATACCCTTCACCACACTGTGATAAAGGGTATTATGTCTTTGTGTATATGTTTGTAACAGCCAAAAGAAATCGAGATAGAACCATAATTCCTTTAGAGAATATGCATAGAATCACTTTCTGAGTCAATTTA